GGGGGGTTGATATGTTTTCATAAAGTGTGTAGATCTGTGATGACGTACGTGGGGTAGGCTAAAGGAGGAGCAGATGAAATGCATCACGTGATCTAGCATCAGCTCAAACAAAATGCCTGGTTTAAAATCTAACTACGTTTTTACTTTGGCCAGTATGTCTCCCTTACTCTATATCGGCTTCTACGGATTACTTGGCATGTGGCAAGTAGCAATGTCATTTTTCAGTGTTATAAAACCCCTGTGATGGCATTAGCTTTGAGTGTAGGGAGAATGTGGTGTAGTAGAAAGGTTCATCCATGTTCATAACATTTAAGAGTGTGGCCACTCTACAGGTCCTGAGACTCGCGATGGAGAACAACAAGAACGATTGTGACAACCAGAAACAAGATATTGAGAACATGAAAGCAAGTATGGAGAAGAACAAGAAAGAGGTCCTTCAACTTCTAAACTCACAGAAACAAGACATCCAGGAGAAGGTAAGGATGACCCTAGAGGACCTTGAAGCGGGGTTTGGAAGCATGATACAGGTGAGAATCTTTCATAAATTACAACCGACTCCGCCTTAGAACATTCTGGGCAAACATCCGGTCTGTTATGGGGAACCAGTTCTAAAAATAGAAATCGGGCCAAGAACCCATCTGGACTAAGAACAATGCCTATCTCTGAGCATCTTGCTTGATCACCCTTTTCCCTAACAGATAACGCGGGGTCGTCTTGCCTGAAAGCTAAGGGGACAGGTAGAAAGAGATGTTGGGGAGATTGGAGTGAGGATGTGGTGGGCTAGCGGTCGACTAGGTTGTTACATTACATTCACGCTAAGACTTACACAAACCATATTTTTATGGAGCTATGTTGATTGGAGCAAGCGATAAGTTATTTTAGAGTTAGTTGTTTTTTTTTATTTCTTGTTCTGTGTAGCTCAAAACCCATTGTCTTACAAAAGCTGTCCCATTCACTAACTGGTCAGTCTTTTGCTTGACTAGCGCAGCATTGAGACTGGTTCTATTTCCTACCAGAAGGAAGAGGAGGAGGAGATGAAGGAAAGTACAAAATGCATGGCCCGAGTCGGAATCTTCTGCTGGGTACTTTTCAGCGAGGGTTGCTGGATGAGTTTTTCTCACTCTGTTTTCCTCCTATTTGGACCTCCCTAAGATGGATGTTGAGTCGAAGGTCCCGCCTCTAAAATAACCTTACAACCTTACTGTGTTGAGAGGACATTTATCAAAATATGTGCTTGACGCGAAGTGGATTTTTAGAGAAGAGAAAGTGTAGCAGACCAGTCTAATGACGTCACAGAAATAAGACAAAACCTCCCTTACAATGTCAGGTATTCGCTGACACCCGTATCGACTCTGTCACTGACAGATTTACGTGACTTACGTAGACTGTGGCAACTAACGATACAATTGGGTCATTAACTTTACTTTTTTACTTCTATAAGGAATGGCATGTGGTTGAAAATCCCCAAATATTTATCATCAACTTTAAGAATAACGTCACACCACAGGTGTTGAACCACACGTTTGAGGAGAAGAAGAAAGAAGATCTTGAACAGAGGGAAATTCTGGAAAAAGTCCAAGCAGACATGGAGTACAACAAGTCAGGGTATCTCCAACACAAGCAGGACATCCTGGACAATGTGACAGCAACTGTGGAGGCTCTTGAAGCGGGCTTTGAGCACAGGATGAGCGCTATGAACAGCCAGCTACAGGTGAGAATCTCTCGGAATATTTCACTTTCACTATCGTAACAAGGAAACTGACTGAGGGGGAAATTCAGACTTTGACCGAGGGATTCACTGAGAGATGCACTGGGAAATTGACTGAGTGATTCACCGGGAAATTGAATGAGCGATAAATTGACAAAAATGACTGAGTGATAAACTGGGAATTGACTGAGTGATATAAATACTGAGAAATTGACTGAGTAATAAACTGGGAAATTGACTGATTGATAAACTGGGAAATTTACTGAATGACAAACTGGGAAATTGACTCACTGATTGACGGATAATTCTTCACTTACGGCGCATTCAGACCAAAGATCTGCGTCCTTCCGTCACACGTGGGGCTCTATTACTTCTTACTTCTCAACACATGGACATTCTCGTCTGTCTGTGTACTTTGTTTTACGACGTCCATTAAACTTCTCTCTGTCAAGTCCCGTGTTTTGGGGCAAGTTCAGCCAGATTAATTGTTCTGGAACTTATTTTTTTGTTGAAAAAAGTTAAATCTGATGTCATATTCGTCCTCCTGGTCCATCTTTGATGCGACAATAAACTAAATATAATAGAATTCATCAATTCCCACTATATTACAAAACATAGATCAGTCGTGTGGCCTCAATTTGCCCAAGGCGATAAAAAGCACTCCAACGAATGGACGTGTATTGTGATATGAACAGGCTATGTGATAAACACCCCTAATGTTTATCATAGTCCTCAATAATGACGTCACATTACAGGTATTGACCAACATCTTTGAGGAGAAGAAGAAAGACGATCTTGAACTGAAGCAGAGTCTTGAGAAAATGAAAGCAGCCTTCGAGGAGAACAAGAGAGAGTGTGTCCAACACAAGCAGGATACCCTGGACAATGTGACAGCAACCGTGGAGGCTCCTGGGAGCAAACTAAGCGCTGTAGAGAACAAGATACTGGTGAGAGTTTCTCCTTGTGTTTGACTTTCGCTGTTGTTGCTGGGAACTTGAACCAGGGTCTGGGGTGGAGCGGTTAGGCGCTTCCCTGTCACATGCAGGACATCTGAGTTTGATTCCCGAGTGGGAAATTTTTTTATTGAATATCTTGGTCTTTTTGCTGGGATGTTAAATCCCTCTCAGCCTGTTATAGCTCTAACAGGCAGGGTCGGGAAACTACCTCCTAAATGATCTAATTTGTGGCAGTGGGGTCGTAAAGAACACCTACATAATTCTTTTTTATTTGGTTGGGGG